AGTTGTCAAAAAGATCCACTTAAGATACAATTCAGCTAATCCTCACAATGAAGCCGGCAAAAGTTGGAATACGTTTTTGTTTTTACAATCTGATGACTCATCTTCTATATTTTAATTCTTTGGGCCTAATCAAATGTTTTGCATTTGGTAATCATGTTTTATCAATAAAGCAACAAGGCTCAAGTGTCAAAAGCAAATTTTACAGGCTATTGATGAACAAAATACATATATAAAATAAACGATTATTATTTTAAGCTTCTATTTGATCAAGGACAGAACTTATAACAATACTGTATATTAAATACAATATGATGCGTTTGTAGTTGTTTTTCAAACATTTTATACATGAATAAACACAATAAAAGAACTCCCTTTAAGGAAGAAATAAGCAAAGAAACACATATTATTCCAAAATGGCTACAAAGAAAGCTACAGGGAAACACAATGTTCTAAAGTTTGCAGATCTTCTTAGAGCTCTTTACTGTATACTAAATAACTTTTAGTAACTCCGTTAACATGACAAGGCAATATGGACTTATTATTCATATTATCTGGGGGATTGTTTGCTTAGAGGTTTGAGCAGTGTGCTTGTCTTTTAAGAAGGTTGCAAGTATGCGGTTCGATCCTCACAGCCTCCACTCTCTGTGTGCCTGAGCAAGACTCTCAACCCCACACACCTCCCTGGGTGGCACACAATGGCAGCCCACTGCTCCCAAAGGGGACTGGTTAAATGCAGAGGTTTCTCCAGTGTGAGACCCAAAAACTTAATTTTTTTAACTATATTATGGTGATATTAATCTTTGGAATCCAGGACATCAGAGCCTGTTAGAGAATAATCATTACCAACCCACTTTGTAGAAATGGTAAAAAACTGATCAAGCTGTTTAGCTGCTGTGCAATTTGTTTAAATGCTTACCTTTGTATGTTTTATACCATTTCTTCCTCTATCTACTTTTGCTACTTTTGCACCAACAAAGATAACTTTGGTTTTGCTATATTTACCTCTATACAAACACAAAATAGTCATAAATCAACAGAAAACTATGGTATGTTGGGCCTCATGTAAGAAGCGTTTGTATAAACAAATTTGTTCTTAAAGGGTTTGTATGAGTGATTTAGGAGAAAATCCCTCAGTCACATTTTTTCCCTCATATTTCTAATCTTCTCTCAGGTAGGACAAATGTTATAAGTGCTCCAGACTTGAGGGAGGAGTCAGCTGTTATACAGATCTAGTTTTCCACTTAATGACTATTTGTTAACTAAAAGCCTCTGTCCATTATTATTGGGTTACATTTTTATATACTACGCACCTTCAAACCAAAATCAATTTTTAATCACTGAAAACAGAACTATCAGGCACTACACTGGCAGCTGGCACGTCAATATCCAAGGGGATTCTGGTTTAAATTTTGGTAATTTTGTTGAAAGAACAAACAGTCAACAAGCTGTGTGTGAGAACAAGCTACTGTTAAAAAAAAACATTTCAAACAAAAATTAGATACAAAGTACAGAATGAAGGATTGGTGATGTGTTGCTTCTTGAAACTTTTTCTAAGGTATGCATTAAGTTCACTTCATATCGCCGCCTCGGCTTTGTTATTTGTGGAAAGTTTGGGTCTGTCTGAATTCACCAAATTAGAATTTTTACCCATTACATTTTGTTTTACAATAATGTAATGTACAGTACAATGAAGGGTTGTCGGACAAGGTCTATTTAGAGATCTAGGTTTAGTAGCTACATGTAAGTGTATGTATTAAAAGGAATTTTTGCCGAACTGTGTGTTGTGTTGGTTGACGGTGAACTGATATGAAGTATTTACATCAAATGTTGCACCTCTTACCTCTACCAGTAGATTTCATCAACTATAATCCTTTTATTAGGCATGTTTTGGACACAAAATTCACATCAAATTTTTTTTTCTATTATTATTATTATTATTGTAACTATTATTATTTGTTTGGTCTTTTAATTCTGCTGCTCAGCTCTCAGCAAGCAAAGCCTAGAGTTCTAAATTGGTAAAGTCTCTCTTTTTGTCTCCATTTCCACTTTTTTGAATGAAAATGGTCTGACAAGCGCTGGAACTCATAGCCTTATATGGGATTATCAGGCAGTAATTATGTAGTTTTGCAATTCCTATAAATGCCTACTCACTTACACACAGGTGGAATGTATTACATTAACAAGGATAATTTATGCATTTATCTGAAGCCAAGCACGTTTGTTTAATCTGATATGGCGCACTGTACAATTCATAGAAATTAAAGGTGGACATGCTAATCTTAACTAGTCTGGTTTTGGGATTCTCATGAGTACGGTATTAAACTATACATCTTTGAAATATCTTCATTTAATATGACATTTAATGCTTGTTTTGATACTTAGACGGATGTATTTTTCGGTTATATTAAAACTGTAAATGCATGTGAATGTTAAACCCTAGAATTTATTAAATACAAAACATGTTATAAATACTTTCATTTAATGATAAAAGGGGAGCGTGAGTAAATATATTGTAAAAAGTGAGAAGAAGAATATGACACATGATTAATAAAGCATATTTTATGTTGTTTTTGTGAATGTAATGACTAGAATAGCTTAAAGAAGCTCTGGCCATGATATTTTGATTCTGGGCTTTTTTTTTGGACTGTCGCATAACTAGTCAATATAGACATTTAGATAACTAAATTAATAGATTACTAAAAGTCTAATAAATCCTCTCTTTGGGAAGTTCTCATCAGCTCAACACCTGTGCTGTGTTATGGTGTCCTATATGGCCTCTGAGCTGAGTCTTGGAGGAGCATCACATGCTGTTTTCCTTTCTGCTACTAGCATCCATTTTGAATGGATATATTTCCAATACAAAACGCCTTTTATAAACCTTTGGTGTGATAAAAAAAAAGAGTGAAAATCTAATAAAAGATGTGTTGTACCATATTTAAAGTCATTTGTTCAATTCAAGTGTGCTTAACTCCTGAAAACTCCATAAATCAATGCATTATGACAAATATAACATGTCAGGTTTTTGAAAACATAATAGCCTTTTTTATGTGCATTTAAATTTTAAAAATACTCCATGATGCGTCAATTCCACCCCTTTAAGTTATTTGTTTTCAGGATTTATAGAAAAGAGATCATTATATATAGTTTTGTTGACATTTGCAACATACTTTTATGGAGAATGTGAGAAAATATACTAATAGTTTTCTTAGAATTCAAAATGTAGAGCAATGAAATATTTACAAACAGATATAACTTGCAGAAAAATTGTTAAGTTAAAAATGTATGAATATGGTGAACCTTAATATTCAGAGAAGATAGTTTCTTACCCAATTAGATTTTTATGTAAAATACATTTTCTGTGGTTATTTATGTTGCAATTTAAAACCAGAAACCTAGGAAAGCTTGCTTGGAAAATGATCAGAGAGTCTTGGTCCTGAATTGCTTCAGCAATGTTTAAGTTATATTCCTTGTCTCAGAAGCTGTAGATTTGTGTTTTATAATTTGACCCACAATATGTTCAATAAATAACATAGGTCAATGAGCTTTTATTTGTATAAAACTAAATGGCAAGGTGTAAAGCACAGTGAAGATCCTACTTTAAAATTCTGTTAGGAAATTTTCTAGAGCAGTGCTACCGTGACCTAGATAGAAGTACAGAGAAATTAAGCACAGCTTGTCCTCCTACCATGGCTGAAATTAGAAGCGTAAATCTTCCTGCAGCAATGCAACAGCAAAAATGCAGATGAATGTAAAAGGTTAGTTGTTTTATGACTAAAGTAAGTAGCTTCACCACATTGAAAAAGCCTGCAAAATGCAGGAATGGCAAAGCAAAGATTCTTAAAAGACAAAAAACTGTTTTTTGTTTGTTTTTTTTTATAAAACTGTAAGCAACAACCTGATAAAGGTTTAGACTCATTTTGATATGATATGTGGATTCCGGCTGATACTGTAAGTGCTGCTATTTGTTGTGGATATAAGCTCAATGCTGGTTACTTTCTCATAGTTTACTGCTGTGTGTTAAATGGAAATGAAAGAAGAAAGAGTAAGGATGAAATTAATGTATATATATCCTGGAGGCAATCATACTCAAAATACAACATTCAATTAATTATTTAATGTATCATTGTTGCAATATTTTAACATTACATCAATATATAATAAAAATTATATATATATATATATATATATATATATATATATATATATATATATATATATACATTCACATAACATTAACTAATACAACTTATTTTTATGTTTGGTGATAAACAAACTGAGGAAAAAAATACAGTAATCTATATCACTTTTTTTTTCTATGTTTTCAGAAAGTAGACCTTTTACTCAAATCATGCTCTGAATATATAACATATGACATTATTTTGTGTCACACAAGAACTCAAATTTTACTCTATGAAAAGAAAACATGTTACATAACTAAACCTATAACTGACAAACATAAAAATGTAATTGAGTTAATGCAAAATTTATGAAATAAATACATACTTAAGTAGTTACTAACAGATAGGTACTGTAATCTCACACATTAATCATGCTCCCTTCAAAAAGCAAAGAAGATAAAACAAATACAAAACATTGCAAAATTATTCATGCATTATCTTGATAGTAGGTAATAAGTGTTTTGCCGAGGTTGACACACAGTAGGCAGTAAAAAGCTGTATCCAACACTAATAGACATAAATTATATATTCACTTATTTATTTGGTTCTTTTTTTATTTTTTAGATAAACTATTTCATTGGTACGCTCTAAAATGGTCTGAAAATACAGAAAAAAGCAAATGTATCTACATCATATGCTGTTATAAAACCTTGGATAGGTATGCACTAAATGTAGAACAACCTTTTCACTGTACTGGTGAATATTTTCAGTCATCCAGGTCATAGTCATTCCAAAAAAAGTAAAACAAAAAAAAAAATACTTCTGGCGTTGGTTTCCAGGTTTGAAGATGTTTAGCTTCCCATCCAGGAAGCTTTTTCAATTCCAAAACATTTTTTTTTAATTGAAAAAGCTTCCTGAATGGGAAGCGAAACATCTTCAAACTTGGAAACTAAGTCCAGCCGACTGGTTTTTAGCTTATTTGGAAAAACCTTCTCAAAACCATTGAAACCACTGATGGTGTTCACTCTACCAGGATTTAAAAAAGCAATGCTACAGTAGGTGTTGCTGATTCTAATGATACAATATAAAGCATATCCAATTCTACTGCAAGTCAAACAAGTCAAAGTTTTACTATGCCTCGAAACATGTTTCTAAAATGTTTTACAATAAATGTGTGAATGATACTCCTCATGTCCATGCAGACATGAACTGTAGAATTAAATATTTTTATATTTGTTAATGAAATAATATCTACCAGAAATAGTGTAATTATGTTTCTTTTTTTTATAATAAGTCCATAGTATAGTTTTTTCTCAATGCCATTGTGTTATTGTATTACCTGTAGTTGACAGTCGTGCATTATTTTGGAAATACACATTAGTTTCTTTTTGCAGATTTTACATCTGCATTTTTTTAATAAACACAAAATACACATTTAACTCAAATATGACATAAATCCACTGTTTTCTTTAAGAATACCAGGACAATCCACCAAGTAATCTTGTTACTAAGAGTCCTATATAGGAATGTGTAAAATATGCCTGCATAATACAAAATGATTAATTTATAAATTAAATTGAACATTTTAAAGCTGTGCAACAGTTAGCGCTTATGAGAATGTTTTATTAGTACATATTCTTGAAAGACCATGCCATACAGAATACCAGCATAAGCAAATTGCAAAATTGCAAAAATATTTTGTCTTTGAGAAATGCAGTCTTTTAAGCATCCTTTTAATTGGAAAAAAATGTGATTAAAAACTGAAATATATAACATCACAGTACATTACATTGCATTATTGACAAACTCTTATCCTTTATGGTTTAAGAAATATATTATTGCAAAATTACCACATTGTTAGGTAATATTATACTTCTGGATGCCAACATTTCAAGTATTTTGCTAACAAATGTCAAAAAATGTTAACTACATCTATATTAGAATAGCAGCATTTCTCAGAGAAAACGTAACCTTTTTACAAGATGAACTCATCATATATTATTTTAAATAAGCAAGCATAGACAGATTTAGAAAATACTCTTAATGTAAATCATATACTTTCCAATAACTCCAGTTAAAATCTACAATGAGTGAACAAGTATCCTTTACTTGCAAGTTTTTATAACAAATTTAAAGTCATGAGTGCAAATCTTATGTATCAATTTAAGCACTCAAATGATTAAATCCACCTCTGCAGAAGTTGATAAAAAAATCTGAGGAAGGATAAATTTGCCCCAAAGTTTTTCCTGACCTACTATTTGATGCTCATTTTATCACATAACACGGGTGTGTTGGTCCTGCTCTAATCTTCAGACTGGGCCTCTCTGTGCTCAGACGCCTCAGCGTATTTTTTTGATAAGCTGCACTTCTCTTTTTAAGTATGTCAGTGTCTGTGTTTGATCCAAAACGAAAATCGCCTCTCCACGACCCTGTGGTCATGAAAGGGTCATATCGATCTTCTCTTAGTAAGGTTCCACACCGGCTAAAATCAGTAAGTGTTGAGGTGCAGTATGTTGTGGGGAAAACAGGTAGACTGCTTGTATTTGAACGGTAAACATAGCTGTGGTCACAGAAATTGAAATAAAACACACCACTGATTAACAAGACAAAAAGGAATGAAACAGTAGATAGAGCAATTATTAAATAAAACATTAAATTATCATTGTTCTCTGACTTATCTGCAAACTCATAAAATTCACTTAACACTGGCATCCCGTCACTCAGTGATATGCTGACTGTTGCAGTGGCAGACAGAGATTCACGACCGTTATCAGTTACCAAAACCACCAGAGTGTGTTTGGGTTCGTCTTCCTCCATGAATGTCCGCAGAGTTCTGATTTCTCCTGTATGCAGGTCTGCCATAAAAAGATTGGACCTTGTTGCTTTGATTATCCTGTAGGACAGCCAGGCATTATGGCCACTATCAGCATCAACAGCCACCACCTTGGTAACCAGATAACCTCCAGGTGCTTCAATTGGAACCACATCTTCAGCAATGAATCCTGATGTTTGAACAGGGTACAGAATAACAGGTCCATTGTCATTCTGATCCTGAATGAAAATGTTTACAGTACAGGTGGAGGAAAATTGAGGATCACCTCCATCTTGTGCCGTAATCTTCAGTTGGAAGTATGCAGACTGTTCATAATCAAATGTATAGGATGTAAAGAGCTCTCCTGTATTTTGGTTAATAGTGAAAAATGATGATAATTCTGAATTTGTATCCTGTGATATGTGATAAAGGATTTTAGCATTAGTTCCATCATCACTGTCCTGTGCTTCAAGTTTTATGACCAATGTGCCCACTGGTAGGTTTTCCAAAATATTGGCATTGTATACGTAGTGCGTAAATGTTGGTGGATTATCATTTACATCACTAACTAAAAGTGTTATGACTTTTACGCTCGAAAGTGAGGGTGAACCTGAATCAGTAGCGGTGACTGTGATGTTGTACTCTGGTTGGAATTCTCTGTCTAGTATTCCGTCAGTTACTAACATGTGATAGTTTTTTACTTCTGAGACTAGCTTAAATGGAACATTGTCTGGGATTGAACATATGACATGCCCGCTGTTGCCAGTATCCATGTCATAAATATTTATCAGGGCAACCATAGTTCCTGGCCTTGCATCCTCTGCGATGTTAGAAGATGCAGATTTTATTTCTATTACAGGTTTGTTATCATTTAAATCAATTATATCAATTACAAGTTTACAGTGTGAAGCCTGACCACCCCCATCTTTTGCTTGGACGCCCAGCTCATGTGAGCTTGCTTCCTCATAGTCTATAACACCTGCCACTCGAACCTCTCCAGTCAGAGGGTTGACTTCAATAACACCTCCCATCTTGTCAGACAGGTGGCTAAAGGAGTAAGTTATCTCTCCGTAGACACCCTCATCAAAGTCGGTGGCATTCAAAGTTGTTATAAGAGTCCCTTTGGCTGCATTCTCTGGAACAGATGCTTTGTAAAGTCTTCGGCTAAAGATAGGAACATTGTCATTAGCATCCAGAACACGGATGTGGATAAAAGCAGTTCCTGATCTGACTGGATATCCCCCATCAATTCCATTGATTTCCAGAAGATGTTCCGTTTCTGTTTCCCGGTCCAATTGCTTTTTAAGAACTAATTCCGGATAACTATTACCATTTATTTGGGAGCTCATTTCCAGAGCAAAGTGATCATTGTGGCTCAGTTTGTATTCCCGGATAGAGTTGGTGCCCAAATCGGGGTCATGTGCACACTCCAAAGGAAAGCGCCTCCCCAGAACTGTGGATTCAACTAAATCTAGTTTTATTTCCCTTGTAGCAAATTCTGGGTTGTTGTCATTTATGTCTGCGATATCTAGGACTAAGCTGCTTGCTTGTAGTGGATCTTCAAGTAAAAGCTGAAATTGGAGAATACAGCTGTTGGCTTGTGCACACAGCTCCTCTCTGTCTATTCGCTGGCTGATCAGAAGATTACCAGAGGCAGTGTCCAGTTCACAGAGCTGGCTGGTTCCTTCTGCAACAACACGGGCTCGACGTGCTTGAAGTTCAGACACCTGAAGACCAAGATCCAACGCAACATTACCAATAACTGAGCCCCTATTCATCTCTTCTGGAAGAACATAACGGAGTTCTCCATATGACACACCAAAAAGTGGAGCGCAGAGCAAAAAATATATCCACCATTTTAGGCTTCTGTGAAGATCCATCATACAGCTTGCTTTTGGAATGGATGCACAGTCAAAATCAGTCAAAATCCTTTAAATGTTACAGCGCTGCAAACACTTCTGCTACCCTACAGCCCTCTTCTTCTCTTGCCGACTTAATCATGCTCTATTAGGGATGCTGCCAGCTTATATTCTGCCCTATCTTTTTCTATTCTGCAACCTCTCTCTGTCTTTCTCTCTCTCCCTCTCTCTCTGACTCACTCTCTGCACTGGCACACTCTCCTCCTCTTTATCATGCACACAGACACAAATGCGCATCCATGCATAGCTCCCCTCCACTCAGTGCTCTAGTTCCACTGACACAGATTGGAAGAGACACAAACATCCATGACTTAGGTATTATAGAGGAGCGCCACCAAGAGACTGAAAAACTTGTTGCAAGTCATTATTCATCTTTTTATATCATGTTCGAAAAAAATCTGTCGTTGATATAGTAGATAATGTAAAATAGCATTTTATGGTTAAATAAATGAAATCAACATATCTGAAGCAGCTCAGGATGGTTAAAAGAAATGTGAACCTAAACACTGAGATGGGCAACATTTGTCACCATGACAAAACGATTACATATGAATCTCGTCATAGAAAATCTCTAGAGCACTGTTCCCTGGACTTACGTTTATAATAAAAAAAAAACACCCATGTTAGATCGTATTAGGTAGTTGCAAGACTGATGATAAAAGTGATCATAAGATTGTACTACCTCCTTCTAAGGTGCAACGGCATTCTTCACCAAAACAATATAACTTTGTTGCTCCTGACCTTCTCTAAGTATGAAAAAGATTATTTAAAGAAAACAGCTTTACAAAAAGTTGACAGGATAATTATTGCAATTGAAAATTCTGTACAGGGCATAAAATGTTCAATGATTTATATGTTAACTTTATAAACAAAGAAAATTGGAAAAAAAAAAAAAACATAAAAAGGTGGAATATCTTCATTTTGTTTTTAATTAAAAGTACCAAAAATAAATACCGTAATTAAAAAGTTTAATTCAAATTTTTTCACAAAAATAAAGAAAATAAACAAGTAATTGCATATTCTTACAAGGAACTTTGAAAATGTAAAGAATTTTACTTTATTAAACTTTTATAGGTGCTTTTGTTACTTTGGTGATTTATTTAAAGACAGACAGCAATTTTGTCACAAGATGAAATCCTATGATGTTATTTTTATTTTATTTAATCAAAGAGCAATAGAATAACAACTGCTTTTTACGTGAGCAGATTTTTTCAATATAATGAAATGAAATATTGAATGAGTTTAGAGATAAAACATCATGGTAAAGTTATATTTTTAATATAAAGTAAATCAGTTGGAAAAGGGAGCAGAATAATATGAGATACTTTTGTTTTATTAATATAACTTAAAGGGGAACGGCAGTTTTTTTTACATTTGGCCCTTGATTTTACGTTATTAAATCATTTTCCACTCACCAATATAGGTTTTGTGTCATTTGGAGCTGTTCTGAATATATTCCGTTAGGTTATATCCAAGTAACGTCTTCCTATGGGCGATCGACTTGAAGGCACAAACTGAACTGTTCATAATTTATAATTTATGGTACGCCAGCATTCATAACATGTAGGCAAATCTCTGTCCCCCAGACAACCCCGGTTATATTTTTTATGTTTATATCTTTTTAAAACGAAGCGGCACGTGTATGACATCATCAGCGTGTGCCGGCTACCGTTCATTCTTCCTCTCTGCTGAACTGCTGCTAGTTTTACTCACATGCCTGGAAGATGTCTATTGCTACTACCACAGATGATCTTGCTCTCGAAATGGAATTGAATGATTCAAATTAGCTAGCCGAATGAATAGAAGGGCTAGAGCATAGCCGCCTTTTGCCCGGGCTTCCTGTTACAACTGCAGTGCGCATGCGCAGATGACGTCATACACGCGCCGCTTTGCTTTTAAGAAATATAAATATAAAAAATATAACCGTGGAAGTCTGGGGGACAGTGATTTGCCTACATGCTATGAATGCTGGCGTACCATAAATTATAAATTATGAACAGTTCAGTTTGTGCCTTCAAGTCATTGCCCATAGGAAGACGTTACTTGGATACAACCTAACGGAATATCTTCAGAAAAGCTCCAAATGACACAAAACTTATATGGGTGAGTAGAACATGATGTAATAACGTAAAATCAAGGGCCCAATGTAAAAAAAACAGCATTCTCCTTTAGTTACCATGAATTATTAGGAATGTAAAATTAGAGCAGAACCTTCTTACTCAAATAATCAGTTCTATAAAATGCAAATGCAGAATGCCAAAGCAAAAAAGCAGTTATGAGTTGTAAAAGATAACATAATAGATGATAGTTTATCTAAAATGAGCTCCCAAAAACTTTCTAATTAACAGGTTCCCAACTGCTAAAATTAAGAACAGACAGACAGACAGACAGACAGACAGACAGACAGACAGACAGACAGACAGACAGACAGACAGACAGACAGACAGACAGACAGACAGACAGACAGACAGACAGACAGACAGACAGACAGATAGATAGATAGATAGATAGATAGATAGATAGATAGATAGATAGATAGAAAAGCCATGACACATGAAAAAACATAATTAGGCAACATGTTTTACACCTGATTTAAGGGATATATTCATACCTCAGGAGAGTCATTGAGGTCACCAAATGTATCAGCAAATGCTGGCAGACTTTTCTCCAAAGTCTGGTCAGCAAGCAGCGTGTTGTCATTGTAGGATTGGACAAACTTAAAGTCACTGGTTCTAGATCCTGTAGTCAGGTAGTTGTCATAATTGAAAGTACTTCGCAAAGTTCCTGTTCCATCAACATCTGAGTAGTTTGGGGGCAGGTAAGCTCCGGGGAGAGAAACTGCTCCATCAAACAAGAGTCTGGGCTTTTGTCTGTGACAAAACTTTACACCAAGAATGATGATGATGAAAGTCAGGAAGAAGGTGGACACAGAAACCAGCGCAATGATCAGATAAGATGTCAGTTTAGAGTTCTTTTCATCATAAGAGATATCTTTCAGTTCTGGCACTTCAGCCAAGTTATCAGAAATAAGTAAATATATGGAACAGGTGGCAGACAGAGAGGGCTGTCCGTTATCTTTCACTGCAACAATCAGGTTCTGTTTCATGCTGTCAGATTCTAAAATGTCCCGCTGTGTCCTGATCTCTCCACTGTGCAGATCAATGCTGAAAAGTCCAGGATCAGTGGCTTTGACTATATGATAGGACAGCCAGGCATTCTGTCCAGAGTCAGCGTCCACTGCTATGACTTTGGAGACCAGAGAGCCTCCATGTGCGGCTTTAGGGACCAGCTCAGTCATGAAAGAGCTGCCCTCCAGGGTGGGGTAGAGAATCTGAGGAGCGTTGTCATTCACATCCGATATGAATACACTGACAGTCACGTTACTGCTGAGTGGAGGAGAACCATTGTCTCTGGCCATCACGTAGGCTTTAAAACTCCTGAACTGTTCATAATCAAATGACCTCACAGCATGGATCACCCCTGTGTCTCCATTAACAGATAGATAAGATGATACAGTAGCACCGTTCACCTCAGCAGGTAACAGAGAATAAACCACTGTACCGTTTTGTCTCCAGTCTGGATCTCGAGCAAAAACGGAGCATAAAGTGGAGCCAGGTTTGTTATTTTCATTAATATATGCACTATAGGACTGTTCCTCAAACACAGGTGGGTTATCATTGATATCAGCTACAGATAACTGTACAGTTTCAGAGGAGGACAGAGGTGGAGAGCCCTCATCAGTAGCAGTAATTGTAATATTGTAATCAGACACTAGTTCACGATCCAGGTTTCCTGTGGTCACCAGAGAATAATAGTTTTTAATCGAAGGAACTAATTTAAAAGGGACGTTTTGTTGGACGGAGCAGCGGACCTGTCGATTATTCTCTGAGTCTCTGTCCTGTACATTAATGATGCCAACCTCTGTACCAGCTGGGGTGTCTTCTGGTATGGGATTGGTCAGTGATTTCAGACTCACTATAGGGGCGTTGTCATTCACATCAGTAATAGAGATAATAACCCTGGCAGAAGATGACAGCCCCAGACCATCCTTTGCTTTAACGCGGATTTCATATGATTTTGTGATCTCATAGTCTACAGCATCAATTAAGCTTATTTTTCCAAATTTACGATCAATTGCAAACTTCTTCCTACCTTCCTCATTAATATGTCCAAAATCATAAGTCACGTCTTCATTCACTCCCTCATCTGCATCAGTTGCGCTCACTGTAACCACTACAGTATCTAAAGGAGAGTTTTCAGGCAGACTGGCTTTATAAACGGCCTGACTGAACACTGGGGCGTTATCATTAGCATCCAGCACAGTTACATGTATGACCACTGTACCTGATCTCTGAGGAGATCCACCATCTAAAGCTGTGAGGAGCAAATTAATTTCCTTCTGTTTTTCCCGATCAAGCTCTTTATCTAAAACAAGCTCCACAGTGTTTCCTTTAGCGGCTAAAATGAAATTTTCATTCTTTTCGAGGCTGTACTGCTGAACTGAATTTTGTCCTACATCCTCATCGTGCGCCTCCTCGATAATAAAGCGAGCTCCCCTGTCTGTTAACTCGTGAATTTCAAGACGGATCATCTTTTCGTTGAACTGCGGGGAGTTATCATTAATATCTTGAACATGGAGGCTGATCCGATGCAGCTCGAGTGGGTTTTCCAAAACTAGCTCTTGTTTCAGGATGCATGAAGCTTTTTCATCACACAGCTCCTCTCGGTCGATTCTTTCGGCCACGATCAGCTCCCCATTCTTCAGGTTTATGTCACAGTAACGTTTATCCGTCTCCTCGGTATCAATGCGGGCTCTTCTTTTGGACAGCGCATCTATTTGCAGCCCGAGATCCTTGGCGATATTTCCAATAATTGATCCGCGTTTCATTTCCTCCTGGAAAGAATAGCTCATATCTCCATGGGCGACGTTGATCCAAAGAATGAATATAATAAATCCCCAAGAGAGAACAAAGGCGAATATAGACTTCATCATTGCTGACGAATTTAAATCCACACGAAGAACGAATCATATAAAGAACAATTTAAGCTCAAAATCCTTCACCACCTTTAGAAATCCGTGACTGTCCTCGACAAGACAGGAGCATAGTTTGAATAGACTAAGCGCAAAGGGACTAAGGAATATACATTCTCAAGCCTGTTATACAGCGCCACCGTGGGGTCCAGTTTAAGAAAAATCTTAGCAAATAACGAGTCTCTTTACAATATGTATGACTTTCGATTAATATTTAAAAATTGAGTTTTCCAGTAATTTAATCATATCAAGTTTTCAACATAATGATCAAAATATAACGTTAGTTTTCAACTATTATGATCCATGATTTTATTTAACAATTTAATTTGGCCTTATAATTTACAGGTTATTTTTTCAAGCAATT